GGTATTGACCTGTAAGTCAAATCAATAGCATCAATATTAAAAGCTCAATAGCTCCCGTGGTTAAAGGACAATCACCTCAGAGCAGACCGCCTCGATTGCCTGGTCTTTGTCTGTTATTTGGGGAAAGGTTGAGAAACAACGTCTACGGGGCAGTTTCATTAGCCAAGAAAGACTTTAACAGGGAAAAAAACAAAAGTTGTATATACGAGCCTCATGAATGTGTGTCGGCAGTTCTTGCAGAACTAGAAATTCAACATTTGGGTTTGGCTCAAACCCTGGGAAGCCCTATTTGGTGTGTGAGATTATTTTTTGGGTATATTATGTCCCATCATGTTGAGTCCTTTTTATCTCAATATGGGGTCCGTCTGGTAGCCGGTGGGGCCTGCCCTCGCGTTGGAGAAGAGAAGGTTGTGTCTCAATACGAAGCCACTCGGGGAGGTTTGAGGCAACAAAAGGCTTTTCATGAGTGAACTATGGACGTGAGATGGCTCTGAAGGAAGAGGTCTGGCTGGAGGCAATCCAGACACCAACAGCAATACAACACAGACACACACTTCTTGTTTTTCCAGTTGTCCTCAAACGGTTGTGTGCGAGCAGTGGGAAAGAGGCTGCCATACTTTTGCTTTAGGAAAGAAATGGAGATAAACTACTTTTCGTGTTAGTTTTGACTCTGGAAAACAATCAAGCGAGCCGTCCCCGCCTGTGTGTCCGGCACACGACTCTGCCGCCATTGTTCATGTTGACATTTACTCTGAGGAATCGGACATCAGTATAAATGCCAAACGCTAATTATTGCGGGACAGATCGAGGCAGATGCACACAGCAGATGGCCTCAGCAATACAACTTTTCATCTGCATACAGCAGTCCTCCGGTCTTTTCCTTCAATCGTTTTTCTGTCCCACCCACATGTCCTCTGTGTGTGTGTGATTGTGTCCGACTGACCTGAGAGTAGAAATTAGCCATAGTGGTGGTTTCTATGTCCTTCTTGGCCAGTATTTCCATTTTGACCGGAGCCGATGGGAACTTGGTTGAGAAGTAGTCCAAGAAGTCTGGCAGGTAGCCGGCTTCCCCGTGGACGATCCCCATGACGTAATGAGCTGCCTGGAAAACGAGGACAGTAACAAAATCTAAATATTAGAAACAAAAAATACAAATGAAACAAATTGTATAAGGTGAAAGCACTTGACTGCACTGAGCTCAACACCCGTGGATCAATATGTCTGCCGTACCTGGGATGAGTCCTCACTGAACGCTAAGGTGACGAACTCCTGGGCAAACCTCTGCCTCTGGCTCATGGAGAGCGAGGACAGCTGGGATGCGTAGGCGTGGGCCACCAGGGCTCCTCCGTTAGGCTGGTGCTCGATGTGGATGTACGGAGCAAACTCCAGGCCCGCCATGCCGGGGTTGGTGCACCGCGGCTGGCGTTTGGTTTGGGAAGGCTGCGGCGTCTTCATGGAGGACGACGGAGAGTTGGGAGAGTCGAGGGGGCAGGAGTTAAAGGGGGATTTGGGGGTGAGAGGAGGGGAGGAAGGTAGGAGATGCGCAGCTTTGTTGTTGGGCGGAGGGTAAACCGGCAGAGGGGACTTAAACGGAGACAGGGCGGAGTTGTGGGCGGGATCAGAGGAGGAGGAGGAAGGAGGTGGAGAGGACGAAGGGAGGAGAAGCAGGCCGGCGCAAATGGTTTGGCAGGAGCGGTGGTACATCTTCACTCGCTTGTGCTTCTCCCCCTCTTTGTGTTTCTTCTTCTTTTTCTTCTTCACCTTTTTGATTTGCAGCTCCTCCTCAGAGTCTATCTTCGCTTTCTCCTTTTCATCTGGACGGAGTGACAGAGAGAGAGAGAGAGACAGACAGAGAGGGGACCGTATTACTTGTTTTACAGGAGAAGACATTCTCACAAGATCAACATGTAATGTAATTTTGAAAAGGCTTTAAGGGAGTAGGGAGACAAATCATTCATGCAAGCTTTGTAAAAAAATAAAAATATATTCAAGTCTGCTGTCTGCTGTGTGATGGATCAACAAACCGACCCTCAGCCCTCTTCATTCCCCCGCTGTAAGAAGACCATTTTCACTGAATTAAGTCCTCTCAAAATGACGAAAGCTCAGAAAAAGCATCTAAATAAGGTGAAGAGAATCAGGAAAACGTGCTGATTACGCTGAGTCAATAAAAACAAACAATACACAGTCAGACTTTCACCCAGATTGTTGTGTCATTTACTTTTTTTTTTTAATTTTTTTTTAATGATCAAAACAAATGTGATAATTCCCTTTTTAAAAACCCATAAAACAAAAATAACTCCTAACTAGTTGTAGCGTGGACAGATGACTCAGCTTCTCCCAGATGGGGTGCATCTCCTGGGGTGCATGCGGTGAAATAAATGGCATCCCTGAGAAAAGCAGATATGAACAAGCCAGGAAATACGCTTTCCAGTGACATATCAGAACGGAGATAATACCGTACATGGTGGACCGTCTCTACGAAGCCTGAGACCGGACAGAGCAGAACATGCAAATTTATGCACAGCGCTGCTGTTAGTAGTGTGTGTGTGTATGTATGTGTTAGAGCTGTTCACATCTATTTGGAAATTTGTTGCTGGCTGGCCAGGAGCGGTTGTGTAAACAAGTGGACATAGATACATTTACAGGGTGTGAGAGTGAGTGTGTGTGTGTGTGTGTGTGTCGTTTTGATAGCTGCTGCCTCAGCATAATTCA